CCCAGTGGCTCCGCCCAAACCCCGCCCACAGATCCCAGCTGACCAACCACTCACCTCCACTCCGACCACACAACCTGTGTCCATTACAAAAACCAACCTTTACAAAAATCAGGAGAGGACTAAAGACCTATGGAACATCACACCGGAGACTGAGGTTACAAACACACATATACAAACTGCACATACACACAAGAGCAATATGTCAAAGTTCCACAAGTTTCAATAGTCTAAAATCATCTTTCTCTATATTAGCAATCTGCAACTGAGTCGGTGCTCATGAGGAAGGTGAGATATTCATCCGTTTCTATAATTTTTGTCATGTTCCTTCTTATCCAAAGCATATTAATCCACAGTCTTGTGTTTTTGTAGACAAGGAGAAGTGAAGGAGAGAGCATCTATATTCGTCACAGCAGTCTGATGCTGGAGGTGTGTGAAATGTATATTGGTTCTTGTGCTAAGGATTTAAGAAGGCTTGTCTAGTCTAATCAATCCTTCCAACATATACTCTTTTTAGGATTTTGATGTGTCCCATGAGATGATTTTGAAGCACTATGCCAGCATTTCTGAACTTAAGCATGGCTTTATGGAGGTCAAGCAAGATTTCGGACCCACTGAATGGGACAGACGTCTCTCATCATACTCGCCTACTTCCAAAGCTCAGTTCCCACATGCCAACGAAGAGATACTCGTGAGAATGGGCTTAGTAAGTTACATTATCAAACAATCTACATCAGTGGTTCTCAACCAGGGAGCCCCAATAGGTCTTACATTTATTTAGAGTTTAGTCAAATTAACAGAATCCTAACTAAAATGTTAAAAACACTAAATGTAGAGATGTACCACATTAAACTGATATTATATTTTGAGTTTATTTAGTTATAATAGAAGTACAGGCTTACATATCAGCTTACAGTAGATTGGAGGGCCTTTGAATATTGTCTTGGACAAAGGGGGGCCTTGGTGTTGAAAAGGTTGAGAATCACTAATCTACAGTATCTAGATGTGAGAGTAATTTAGGAATGTGTCCAATATCATACAGCTTTATTATTCCACCGATTACTATTCCAAGGAATGTGTTTAAGCTAAAGAAAAGAGTCTGTAAACCCATACTGACTGTAAAATCTCCTTTTGCAGATTGAAGAAGATGGAAAAACTGTCTTGTTTCGCTCTCAAGAGATAATATATGTGTGAATTCTAACAGCTTAAATTTATGATATCTATGCACTTACATATAATCCCTGCTGAAACATTCAAGGATGTGAATATGTTGAGAAATGTGCTTTGCATGTTATATACAGTAGAATGTAATTCTGTTTTGCATTTTTCTTATATTTGATCAATCTAATTTAACATCGTTGATGGTAGACGTTTCCTTATACACTGGTAATCATGTCCACAACAGTATATCAAAAGCATCACTTAATTTGTGTAGACCTTCAGACTAAAAAAAATCTCATCTCAGGCTTACATTTGATTTAAGTTAACTGCTTACACCAATTCAGTTATATTCAAAAGGAATAAAAGCTGTCATATGCACTGCCAAATTTGAGGTGTTTATTTTGAGAATGAACTTAAGAAAAAGTAATTTAAAAATCTCTGGAAACAGTTCTTATTTTAAACAGTTAATTTATCTTGGTTTCAGGATTTTTTTTTTTTTT